GCGACAAAGGACATGTCATGGATCTGCTTTCTGGAGCAGTTGCCGGAGGCCTTGCAATGCAACCTGAAGTGGTTCTGGGTATCTTTAGGCAACTGGATCCTATCCTGCACTAAGCTGCATGTAGGCAACTATTTACACCATGAGAATGTTTCTCTTATGTATTCTAACCTGCTGATAAATATTTATCCTCTCTTGGACTCAGATTTTTTTTTTTTTATTTATTTTATTTATTTTGGAATCAGCAGATTTGTAGCAGTCAGTTCAGACCACGGGAAATCCAATCGGGCAGGTTGGAGACCAGCCAGTTGAGCACCCTAATTAACAGGAACACGTAATTAAAATTTAAGCAGATGTGGCTTGGGCAGGTGGTATTTCCTGAACGCATTTAGTTTGCTGTGTGTACACACTATATGTGATGGATACAAATAAATACTCTATTTGCAACCGCGAAAAATACTTGTGCATATGCTGAGCAGTTGGTCTGTGCGAGTGCTGTGCGCTCACCCGGCACTGCTGAAACTGCCACATCTCAGCTCTTAATGGACTGAAACGAGTTCTGAAATCCTGAACATATGTAAACATTTTTAAAACTCAGCCTGGACAAAGTTTGTGGGAAGCAAAAAAGACATATGCATGGCAGCTTATAAATATAATAACCCCATATGATGCTTTTCTTGCACTCTTTTTTGATTATTTGCTCCCAGCTGCTGTTGGAAACAGCATATTAGGCAAGATACACTTTGATCTGATGTAGGTTTACAAAACAATGTTGTCTGTTGAACTCATTGCCACTCCCCAAATTTGAAAACAACTACTCAGCTGAAAAATTGGCGCATAAAAATTCCAAAATCATATTTGTTCTTAGTTCTTACCTAAAATTCCAGTAATGGCTTTATCAAGAATTTCAGTGAACTGGAAGAAAATAATAAAAAGTTACAGTCAAAATTTGATAAACTTCTAACTCTGCAAAAATGGAATTCGGGTGTGTTTTTTTTTTTTTAATAGGACAGCAAGTGTAGGCCATTTCCCACTCTCATTGCAGTGTAGACATTAAATCTTTGAAGAAAAAAACCCAAACAAACCACACTTGCAGTTCTTCATAATTGAGGGAAAATTTTGTTCCTGTAGATTTTTAAGATTAAATCTGAAGAATCCTACTGCAGTTTTAGATGTGTTTTGGGGGGGGTTCTAGCAGTTTAATAGGATTGTCTGATAAGTAATTGTGTCATACCGTTAAATTATTCCATCTTCTGATTGTTAGAGTGACCTATTGTAATTTTTCAGTATCCTTTGAGCGGTGTTTCGCAGTGTCCCAGTGTATCACCAGCAATGAACATCTGCCTTATTTGCAATACCTTGTTCTAGCAAGCTGTGTCGAAAGGAGTGCTGTTAGAGCAGATGACTTTCCATTAAGCTGCTGCAGCTCCGTGTTCCCCATGGTTACCAATGTGAAAGTGAAATTTCTGTGTTTTGTGTGCACGTGTGTGTGTTGATTTATCTTTTATAATCATCTGTTAAAGATTGGTCTTTTGAAGCTGCAGAGGCTGTAGAAAGCCTGGCTTTATTACAGATGTATCTCTGTCTTATTTCAAATTATTTTCCTAGCTCTAAAACTTTGAACCTTCAACAGTCATGGTCTGCTTCTCTTCACTGGCCAGCTATCAGGCAGTAAAACACAACTTAGACTTCTTGTTTACACAGGAAATCTAAGAACGTGTTTTCATAAACGTTTTCTTGATCTTGTCCTGGTGTCGAAGTGGAACAACTTTACCTTATTCAAGTGAAGTAGGGTATGCTGTCTGAGTTTTAAGTGGAATTTTATCTGTTTGTTTCAGTTCAGGAACCGAGCATATTTGAGATGGAGCAGAATACTCATGAAACAAGTTTGTGTCCTGTTCTGATGTACAGTAGTTCGGTATCTGATCTATATTCAAAAGTAAAGGAAAGTAACTTGTGGAAATCTCTTTGAGAGCATCTGATAAAGGCACAGTATTATTCAGGCTGTTACTGTTATATTTATTAACGTTGATTCTAACATGAGACCAAATCTTAAGTCTGTGGTGGCTCCACTTCAATAAATTATGCAGATTTACAGCAGCTGAGATGTGCCTGTTAACTTTGTCGTTATTCCCATTGACTGAACCTGAATAGGTAGCTGAATAAAGTATGTTTTTAATGTGAGTAAGGGAATCAAAAATTTGGCTGACGTTATTAAAGGCAGTATTGTAAGCGGAAATTGGCAGTCATATTGCTATTGATTCCTACTGAGTATGCAACCGCTTGCAAAAGTGAGAAGCATAATCATCCCAGGGGCCTGTTTCTTTCCACTGCTTAAATCTTGCTGCTGTGAATCTCAGTGCGCTGGCAGTTTTAGGAAGCAAGTTAATTGACAATTTGTAGAGGACGACTATGAAGTGCATGTGAAGTGTTGGAATTTTTCAGGATGGACTGTCAAACAAACTTTACACTTTTCTGAATTTGGTCTGCTTTAGGAAATACTGTTTTTACATGTTATACTTGTTATCCAACTAGTATGTAATAAAAATAATGGGTTAAATTACCTCTGACTTTAAGTCCATGTAGTTAGCAGAATTATATCAAAGACCAAGTGCAAGTCAGTCACTGTAAAAAATCTGCACAAAAAAAAAACCTTCGTGGTGGTGGTGTTCATAAGATTTATCAAAGTAGTCTAATATGTGCTGATTTATTGTAATATAATGTGTGCTTATAATTTGCAATTTGATTTTAACATGCTATAAAGAAATTATGGAGTAAATAGTGAGCGTGCTCGTTCCTGTAACTTAATCAGATATGTTGTCACAAAAGTTTCAAAGACATGGTTATTTAATTATGAAGTGGAAAGTAACTTTACTTGTATTACTAAGGGAGCAATTTGCTTATTGTATCTTCTTCTTTTAATGCTTAATTCCTTTTATTGAAACTGAATACTTCTCGTTGCAATGTGCCATAACCTTATTGGCCTGGGATAAGTTTCTTGCAATTATTTATTCTATTAATGTTGCTATCACCTGAGGGAAATTCAGATATTCTGTTAATGATTGTGTTAAACAACTTTCTGTATTTCTGTACTGCCCAAGTTTATGTCATTACATTAGGAGGCACAGGAGATGAAATTGGAAACTTGTAATATACTACAGATTGGATTATCTTGTCTGTTTTGTGTAGACTGCTTGAAGACTTATTTTAGATAATTTAAAAAGATTAAATCTGCAAGACAGTTATTCCTCCTGACAGGATCTCTGAAGTCTTTAACGTAAGTCCAGTGTTCTTGTAAAGATTTTGAACTTTGTACACTAATAACTTTGCTATTGCAATGCAGGCTGGGGTAGAACATCTTTCTTTAATCAAAGAATTTTTGCAATTTTTTAAAATTCTTTGGATGTTGGAATAATTATTTCATCCATATGATGGGCATTAGACATTTGAATGTGGTATATAATGTTTGAGCCGTTTCTAGGCTATACTAGGTGTTATAGCTTCACTTTCTGCCTTTTTAAGGTTTTAAAGTTGTCTGGGCAGTAAATGTTCTTTTTTTTAAAGGTCTGTTGAACTATAAGGTAGTTTTGTTGGGGTGAAGAAAGGAGTCTTTCTGCTTGCTTTCCATCAAAAGCTTTCCTTGGCGGAGTTGTCCCTGGGGTTAGTGCAGACCCCAATGGAAGCAGTGCTGGTACCTTCAGCCGGGAGCATCCTGCCTGCAGCTTCGCAGCTGGGTTCTGAGTAGCACAGAGGTGCCTGTAAAGCACTTGGTGGGATTCTCAAATACCTATTGCTTGCAATAATGGTTTTAAAAAGACTGTGCGTTATTCAACCGTTGCCTTTGATGTGTGCAAGACAGCCAGCGTATTTTTTTTAAGGTTCTATTAAGGAACCTAAAGCATCTAAATATAACTGGCCTTTTTGTGAAGAGGAGGTTGTGAACAAGAGTTTAAGGCAGTGTCAGTGTCTCTGTGCTTGGAAATCAATACCTCTGTGATCCTTAGTCTTGTTTCTCAGTCCTAAGAGCTTCACTAAAAAAAAAAAAAAAAAAAAAAGAGAAAATCCTCCTAAAATTCAGCAAATATTCCGTACATTTTTTGTACTGCATTTGGATAGTGCTTTTTAGTTGAATAATGGTTCTTTTTATTTGTGCCCTGCTTTGCTTACATAAGT